ACTGGTATAATACTGTACCATTGACTAGATGGGTGGTTGGGAAGGAGTAAAAATAATGGTTTTGGTTACTGCTATAACAGAGATTTCACCCAATCCGGAGATCGGATGGAAGAGTTAGCAATCCGTTAGCTTTTGAATACCAGTCACATGTTGGTCACTCACTCAAAGTCCTTTTTAAACAGAGTATTTCATTAAAGCACACACTGTCTACTAGACACCATTACCAAAGACAAAGGTAAAACCACCACTTACGTTCGAAAGCTGCTCTGTGGCACAAAATGGAACGCTTTCCTTTTAAATATGAACAAACTGATACCATTGTTTCGCAGTTCGAGAGTGTAATACAACCCTCTTTCTGATTGGACCACCAATGTGACCAGACTATCCCACCCAACGCTGTGATTCAATAAGAATTCCCCAAACAAAGTCATAAGGCCTCTGTCGGAGTGGGTGGAGCAACAAACTATTCAAGTTCCATTTTTAGGTCAACAGTTTGGTCTATGTTAGAGGAACCTAAATCCGCTTTCTCTCCAGCCTATTCTGTATGGATTCGTCCGGTTGTCAGTGCCGTACGACAACAGAACCTCTAAAAATAAGCATTTACTTCGAGCAGAACATTTAACACACGATCATAGCGAAGCCAGAGGAGACCACGTGTAGTTTCACACTGAATATTTTATAACACATTTGACGATTATTAATCAACAGTTATTTGTAATACTCTGGGTCTCGGGTTACGTTTCGGCGAATTACAAGTGATTTAGCAAACAATGAGCTAAAAAATAATAACAGTGATTTTGGAAGTTAGCTAAGGTAGTAAAAAAGGGGAAGAAAGCGATATGACGAAGTGTGTTATGTGAGCTTGGCGCCACTATGATATAACTAAAATCTTGTCACGTGGGTGACACGTTCATCTCCTTCATATGATAAAACAGTTTCATTTCAACTGGAGGGTGATCTCATTGTTAATCAAATATTTGTATTTACTTTATAACATGCAAACTTATGTTTACAGAACTTAACGAAAAGGTCAATTCACGCCATGTCATACTACAAGTTCTGCTACATTATCAGAAGAAATATATATATATATCATATAGCATAAAAATGTATTGTGTGATTTAAAAATAATATTTTATTGTTTAATGTCTTACAGAAGGAAACAATGACAGTCTTAATAAATATTATATTATAATATCAAACCAGTGAATTAGTGTATATTATAATAAACGTTGTTAAACCAGTGACTTATTATATCTTATAATAAACATTGTTAAACCAGTGAATTAGTGTATATTATAATAAACATTGTTAAACCAGTGAATTATTATATATTATAATAAACGTTGTTAAACCAGTGACTTATTATATATTATAATAAACATTGTTAAACCAGTGACTAATTATATATTATAATAAACATTGTTAAACCAATGACTTATTATATATTATAATAAACGTTGTTAAACCAGTGACTTATTATATATTATAATAAACATTGTTAAACCAGTGACTTATTATATATTATAATAAACATTGTTAAACCAGTGAATTAGTGTATATTATAATAAACATTGTTAAACCAGTGACTTATTATATCTTATAATAAACATTGTTAAACCAGTAAATTAGTGTATATTATAATAAAAATTATTAAATCAATGTGACATATTGTATATTACGATACAGCATTATACCAGTGACATATTGTATATTATGGTACAATATTATACCAGTGACATATTGTATATTTTTGTAGCTGTCTTTAAAGTATCGTGAAATATTTTGACCCCGAGTGACCCAGGTCATATTCTGAATCCTTCCTCTTACACCCAGCTAAGACTTCTTCCATACCAACCATTGTAGCTGTCTTTAAAGTATCGTGAAATATTTTGACCCCGAGTGACCCAGGTCATATTCTGAATCCTTCCTCTTACACCCAGCTAAGACTTCTTCCATACCAACCATTGTAGCTGTCTTTAAAGTATCGTGAAATATTTGCCCCGAGTGACCCAGGTCATATTCTGAATCCTTCCTCTTACACCCAGCTAAGACTTCTTCCATACCAACCATTGTAGCTG